TTGAATTTGACGAGGTGGCAAGTACCTAATTGATTCCAATTCAAAATCCATTCAGAGACTCTAGACAGGAATTGGTGTTTAATTCGAGTATTATACGATACTAGTTATACTTTTGGATGGTCGTTTGTTATGATAGCACTGACTATGAGTGAATAAAAACAAGTTTCTGATTTTATGGCACAAATATGTGAATGTGCCACGGTTGTACAGAAAACCGGCGTGAAAGAACGTTATGTGTCGTCGTTTGAGTTAGGTTATCGGAGGCTCAATTTCCAAAAAGACCGGCAACAGCACTTGTAATTCATCTAGCGATGCAGGTGTCCATGGGTGGCGCTTGCTTACCATCGGATGATCCGTCTGCTCGTTTATACCGTACAGTAGTAAAATGAGTGTCTATGTGACCACGTACAAGGTTATTGGTGCATTGTCCGTTGGTTGGTTACTCCAATATTTGCAGTGTCTCGGTCTGTCCGTCTTGTTAGCATTGATCCTACATAGCTCAGTACACAGGAAATACTCATCGTGCGTGGGCTAGACTTGTTCTTTACAATGTTTTTTTTTTTTTTTTTTTTTTTTAACGTTGCCCCACACTAGGATTTTCTCCTGTGTCGTGGGTGCGTTTACAAACATACAAGTTCACATACACAATGACACCCAGACCCGAAACAACACTTTGTGGATCACACAAAGTGTTGTCCCGTGCGGGAATCGAACCCGCGACACGTTGCACGGCAGCCGGTTGCCCAGCCACCGCACCAACCGTGCAGTCAATGTTAGTAGTATAGTGTATTGCTGGACGAAGCGAATTCAGTGAAGACTATTATATATTTTTCGCTTTCAAACTTGACGTTGGACTAATCATTATCAGGTTATCAGTTCTCATCTGCTCAATTTGTGAAATGAAGTCTATAAGGGAATAACCGCTTGAATGCCTGTATATGAGACACAATAGAATATACATTGTGTCTCGCGTGGATCCGCGTTTAGACACACGACAGGTTAATGAGAAAAGAGAATATTCAACATTTTGGGCTAAAGACTTGAAGAAGAAGAATCAAGTAACGTTTTAGATTACTTATTATATTTCCGGCTTACTCACGTAATTATTTAATAAGAAACTCGACTAGTTTCAAGCCATGCTAGAGGCTCATATTCATGAGCAGCACTCCGCGACCCGCGATGCGGCGACTGTCACGCTGCTACGGGTCGCCGTCTAGTAATTAATTTAGTAAGTTTTACGAAAGTTATGACTTTTTAGGCATTACAAAAATCCTATGTAAGATCAGCAATTGAAACCAAGAACCTTGAACTTGTATCTTTAATGGACATTGTATCGAATCAAATATGGGTTACAAAATGGAGGAATCGAGTGACTTTCGCCTCGACACTTCGACAGACTCTATTAAAAAATATATATTTTTTGTTTTTTTTTGTGTGTTTTTATTTCAATAAAACCATAATTTGCTACTTTTGAAACGTCAATGAATGTACAATAAATAATAGTCTGTCAGTCAGTCAGCTAGGTGCTCATTCCAAAATGTAGATTCGAATGGAGAAGAACGAGCAAGAAACTCCATTCACTACCTACTCTTTTTAAAAAAGTATGTTCTACAATGTCTCTGATACATATAATACGGTACGTATATGTGAGAACAATGCAAAGACACGCTTAACGCATTACAGGTTCTAATTACAAACCTTACTAAAAAATTAAAAAATCTCATAACACATGTTTTTAATCAGCTCATAACCTTGGACTTGTATAAATAATGAGTAAACAAAACAGTTCAGGATTTTTAATGATGAGCATGACTGGTGGTTACCTCGTTCGCTCCATTGAACTTCGTTAACGCATAAACGCAATACAATGCGTTTGATTTGACCCCTGTTGCAATGCAGTTGTTTACCGGCCCCAGTTCCTATCGTGGAATTTTCTGGAAGGACGTGCGGTTGCATGATTTATGGGTTTCCGATCGGTGGTAGAAATATATCGGGTTTTGTGAAACATGTAATATTTGCAAGCTGAACACCAAGCGGTCACCGGTGACCGCAACCTATTGTTCTATAATTGTGTCTACAAAACCGGTACTCGACGAGTTAAGTAGCTCAGTAGCTTTACAATTAGCTAATTATAGACTGCCTATTTAAAACACACCATGTACATATATGTAATAAATATATAATAATGTTATAAATGTAATAAATTAGACAGTAAATACACGTAATATAGCTGTACGCTTTTAGTTACCATACAAATTTCATAACTTACTATTTATTACTAATATTGTAAATGGGAAAGTTTGGGAGGATGTATGTATGTGTGTTTGTGTGTGCCTGTGTGTGTAATAAATTAGGTTTATCATCGTAAACTAATTAGTCACATATAGGTTGATAAAA